GATTTAAAAGGCCTTTAAAATTCTCCCTCTCTGGAGGGGGGGCGTAGAAGAGGGGGTTTTCATTGAGTGTATAAGTGGATGAGGGGGCATAAAAAAGGGAGACTTTAAAAAAGTACGGGAGGGTGTCGAAAAGGTAAGAACCGGGGAATAATGGTTTTAAAGGGTTTGGTTAAAATTTAGTTTTAAAAAGGGCCATAGGTAAGAAATGGTTTTCTCCCGGGTTTTGTGAGCGGGGAACGTTTCCCCATTTGGGGTGATAGAGGCTAGGATTGGGTATTTTTAAAGAAGGGGACTGGAAAAATATTTGAGGGGAAAAGGGGCGGGGGTTTTTTGTTTGGTAAAAAGGGGAAAGGGGTTAAATTTTTTTGAGTAGCTTTAGGTGGAGGGCCCGGTTTGATAAGGCCTGCCTCGTTTTGGGAAAGTGGGCCCTTTCGGGCCAGTTTTCCCCTAAATCTTATGTTCTTATGTTCTTTTCGAAATCTTCGGGTTAGGGTAATTTTGGGAAAATCGGGCTTTCTTTTATGGGTTTTGAGGCTCATTCATAAAGGGAAACCCTTTGGGTCGCGATCCTCAGCCCGATTAGGGGTTCACTAAACACGGGAGTCGTTATTGGGTTTTTAAATTTTCACTAATTTCCTTGTTTTTATTGGGGAAATTCCCAAATCCTGTCGGGTTTAAGGGGCCCGATACTGATGGGGTTTATTTGCCTTTTTTTTGGCATATGAAAAGAATATTTTAAATTTTTTTCCCAATTTCAAAAAATAGCTTTAAGCTCCCCCTGCCTCCCCCGGGTTCCTGTGAGGTCTTTAGCTTAAGTTCGTTTAGTTTACTTCCTGGTCAGCCCTTTCCTTTCGTGTATCAGATATTCTAGCATCCTGGGGCCCCAGGGGAACTTTCTCGTTTTCTGTAGAGGGAGGTTTTTTTCCCCAGTTTACCCCTGCTTTTTCTTTTTGGGGGAAATATCCCCTTGAACATGTTTCCGGAAACCGGGAAAGTTGATCCTTTAAAGGGGCACTGGTTTGGATCCATGTCATTTAAGACATCTTCCAAAAATTTTCCCGTTTGGGCATGGTTTACCTGGTCCCGTTGATGTTTTGTTGTTGAAATTGTTTTTTTGAAGACCCCTTACGGTTTTGCTTTCTGCTTTTCGGGGAACCCAAAGGGCATTTTGTCTGGACTTCGTTAGTTTGTGTGGAAATTTATTTGTTTTTGTATTCTTATTTTCTCTTATCAGGCCCTAAATTATTTGTGAGTAAGGTCAAGTGTTTTTTTCTAGTTTGTTGGCTCCATATCTGCTGGTTTAAGGTGTTTTTTTCGCAGGCCCTTGGGGTAGTTTCTTTGTGGTGGGGTTAACCTTTTTCATCTGGTACCCCCGGGGTTTTTTGTTTAAAGCTATTCCCTTTTATTTGCTAAAATTTTCCCCTTTTTTGTTTCCCTTTGGTTGAAATAAAAAAAAGCGTAAATTTTTGGGGATGGAGTGGAAGGTTTTAAAAACAGTAATCAAATTTTCGTAGCTGTTCCTTAAAATTTTTGTAAAGGTTGATTGGTGGCTTGTAACAACCACAAAAAATGGGTTTTTGGTTCTCTTTTTTTCTTTATTTTTTTAAAAATTTTTTTTCTTTTTTACCCTTATTTTGTGGTTTTCGGAAAACCCGTGCAGAAAAAGGGGCCTCTTTGAATACGGGCCCAACCCCCCCTTGTTTCCCTTTTTTTCTGTGTTTAAAAAAGGTTTTGAAACCCATTTTACCCCTTTTTTCCCATGCCCAAAGTGATTTTTGTGTGGGGTTCTCTGGGGAAGGTTTCACCATTGCATTAAAATCACTAGAATTTCCACTGAAAAAAGGTATTTTGTTGTTGGTGGAGGGTTAAGGCCCTGTTATTGCAAATAGGAACGAGGTTGTATTCTTTTGTTTGTTGGGGGGGTTTTTTTTATTGGCTTCATTTAGTTGAAAATTTGGGGGGCCATGGGTGGCCATGGCTGCGCCCCCCGTCCAAAAAGGCCCAAAGGTGGGGGGAAATTTTTTGCTTTTTTCCCCTTCCATTTTCTTTTTTCGTTTCCTGCCAAAAAATTTCCCCCGGGGTTTGGGGTTTGGGTGTAGCTATATTGTTTGTCTTGTGGGGGGGTTCTGTGCCCCTGGCCCCTTTTTAGAGGGTATGCAGGGCCTCGATGTTGTAAAAATGCTTTGGAGGCCCAAAGGGAGTGGCTTTTTTTTGGGGTGATAGAAAGAAAGGGAAAGGAAAAACCCGACACACTTTTTTAGAAAGGAGGTGGGTCCTTTTTTTTGGGTGGTCAAATTTTGCATGTCCTTTTTTTCCCCCTGTTATTAAAATGCTTCCGATGCCCCAAGCATAATTTTGCCAAAAATTTTCACCTTTGGTTTAATTTTTGGTTGGGAGGTGGTTGTAAAATTTCTGGGGGTTTCCTGGGGCCTGCCCCTATACCCTCGTACCCAAAGCCGGGGCCAAACCCCGTCCTGGATTCCTCAAATTTTCCCCTTTTGGGGAAAGGGAAGGGGGGGGAACCTCTCCCAACACTGTACTGTGGGCCCCGGTCTTTTTGCAATGATGTTTGGGTTATTTTTTCCCGGTTTTTTGATGGTTGTATATTTATGTTTTTGTGGGGGGTTTGGGTAGTGTCCCTAGGGGGGATTTGGGCTGGCATTTGGGCCCTTGGGGGTGGGGGTTTTTTTTTGGGGCCCCCCCAAAGCACTGGGGCGGGGGGTTTTGGGCCCTGGGTTTGGGTCCAGAAGCTGGGCCGGGGCCCCGCACCCCCTTCGGGTATTGGCTATGACTGGGGGAGCCGGGGCCAGCCCCAGCCCTGGGGGGAAATTGGTGCTTTGCCGGGGGGGGAGCCTGGGCCGCACCAGCATTTGGGGGGATTGGTGCTATCCCGGGGGGGGAAAACCCTGGGCCGCCCCCGGGGAAATGTGGGTATTAGTGCTTTTTTTTGCCTGGGGGGGCCTGGCCGCACCAGCCCTGGGGTATTAGTGCTTGACGGGGGGGGGGGCCCGGGCCACCCCAAAAGATGTGGGAATTGGGGGCTAGGGGGGGCCTGGGGACCCCTGGGGCCAGCACCAGACTGTGGGTATTATTTTTGCTGATGGGGGATGGGGGGGTTCCCAACCTGTGGGTAAATAGGTAGTTTGGGTTCTTCTGTTGTGGTAGGGCCTTTCCTGTTTTTTTGTAACTATCTTTTGGGCCCCTTGTTTTATTTTTTTTTTGGGAAAAATTTCCCCCCGGGTCCCCCCTTGGGTTTTTTTTGATTTTTTTTATCATTTTTACCTCCCTTATTTAACTTTTGAAAACCTGCCCAAAGTTTACCCTTTTTATTGCAAAAAACCAGAAAGCACCTTGCTGGGTTCGAGGTTTTTTTTTTTGGGGGTTGTATTTTGGTCTGTAAAAGAGTTTGGTGTTTGGAAGGGCATAGGTTGATGTGTTTTGGATTTCCTTCCAAAGGATTTTTTTAAATGCCCCACAGAATTGCTGTGCTAAACCTTCCTGTTTGTTTTTTCCCTTCCTCTGTTTTTCCACGGAAAAAAAAGGGTTTCCCCCTTTTTAAATTTTCCCTTTGCTGGGGGCCAGTAATATGCAAAAAGGGTATTTTAGCAAAGTTCCAGTATGGGGGGGTGGTGGGGGGTTGGGTGGGGGGGTTGGGTTTTGTTTGGGGGGGTGGGTGTGAGGGGGCCGATTGCCCCCCCACTGCCAACTTCCCCTTTTTTTTTTTTATTATATTTATTTTTATTTTTATTTTTTTATTTTTATTATTTTTTAAAAATTCCTTTTTTTGTAGTGCTGTCCCCTGTTTTTCTAAAGGGGTTACACTGTTTTCTTTCAAAAATTCACTTTTCACTGCATTATAGGGGAAATAAATTAGAGTATGTTTACTGGGAAACTTTTCCCCGGGCCCAGAAAGAGGAAAACGAGGAAGAGGGAGAAAAGGGGTTTTAGGTAATCAGTCCCTCAGCCTGGAGTCCATGTGTTCAGTCCATCAGTCTTAATAAAAGTACAGTATATATGCAGAGAATGGACATATATGTACTGCAGACATGTGAGGTGAAGCAGTTGGAGACGGCTTCACTGGTGGACAAAATTCACTAGTGGATGTAGGTGATGCCTGTAGGTTAGGCAGTCATTGAAGAATTCCCTTTATCAAGCTCACAAGATGTTGCTGTGTCTGACAGATATTATATAAATGCTTTCATCAACTTGTCGGTTTTGCAACCTCTAGGGATGTTGATACAGAGAATTCTTCAACATTTGCCTAACCAATAGACATGACCAACTTCCAGTAGCAGATTTTTCACGGGTGACGCGCCTCGCCTGTCTGCAATATATATGTCCCTTCTCCACGTAGATGCTGCAGTTTTAACATGACTGATGGACTGTACGCATCTACTCGAGGCTGAGGGACTGATTACCTCAAATTCTTTCTCATCTTCCACTTTTTCTCCTCTGTATTGGACTAATAAAGCTACTAGTTGGAGAAATATTTCCGCAAGAAAAAACGCCCACGGACTACACGTTAATCAACCTCCTTCTGGTGGTGACCATCATTCATACCATTATTATTGAAACTGAAGTGGACACTTATAGTGACGAACTAACCAATGCTGCATCCAAATGATGTAGTGGCGACAGTAGTGAAGACAAGCTATTGCTGGAGCAGCGTTCTGCTCTATATAGAGGGAAACGTTGTCCCAGTGAAAGAATTTAGCGAGAGGCCACTACGAACGGAGCAAGCCAAGAAATACAAGTACTATTTATGGAGAAAATGGTGTGAAATACCCACAGGAAGAAAAAAAAGAACGAAATGCAGTATAATTCGATTTTTTATTGACAACGTCTCAGGGCGAAACGTTATCGATAAAGTATCGCATCATACTGCATTTGTGTCTTCCATCGTAGGGGTCCCACTGCCACTGACACAAGTGTTTCCTGGCAGTACGACCGAGGAGTAGGCCGTGTAGGCAGTGACACAAGTGTTTCCTGGTGGTACTGACCGATGAGTAGGCCGTGGAGGCTGTGTGTGGTGTAGACCTCTTGGTGGTAATAATGGTTGGGTGGAGCGAGAGGCTCCACCATCACTTGACCATGGTTCTCGTTGAGTCCCAGCAGCCAGCCTCCCACCATGCTCTCATAAGTGATGACGCCGTAGTGCCATCTGTCGTAGTTACCACCCTCCTCCAGCAGCTCCCACCGCTCTCTGAAACAACACAGTGCTCTTACTCTCATGTTAAAATGTCAGTTTTGGACGTTGTGATCAGCGTCAATATATGAACGTATCCTGTGTCTTTAAAGCGAGCTTTCTAGAGTTAGATTAAATTTATTTACGTTAAATTAGGTTAAATTAAGTTACATGAATCTAACCTACAGGCATGACCTGCTTCCAACTGTGGGTTATTTGATGTTTTTAGTTTAATATGTTTATTATGCACCCCATACCAATCCTGTGGGCGGTAGTCAAAAGATTACAGAGGTACATAATTGGTCCAGGGACTGGACTCCAAAGTTTTGATAGCTGAGCAAGTTACAAAGGTAATGAACTAGATCTGGTTATAATCATGACCAAGTTACAAAGGTAATGAGCTCCAGGTTGAGCTGGTCACACTCATGAATAATTGCAAAGGTAATGAATCATAAACACATTAATCATGAGAATTTACAAAGGTAATGAGCTCCAGGTAGAGCTGGTCACAATCATGACAAGTTTCAAAGGTTAATGAATGATAAACACGTTATGACATGATTACAATCATAGGACAAATTACAGAGTAATGAGCAGTTAACAAACATAGTAGGGAATTCATCCATTGCCCCAACAACAGATGTTGCTAGGTGCCTGTCTCTCCTCGGTAGACAGCCATTGGAAACAGCAGCAAGTTGCCCAGGGATCTTCTGCTTGCACGAGCACCATCGACCCTCCCCAAGAGGTCCAAGAAGCCAGTGACTCCGTTAGCAGCCCGATGGAGAGCTGTCCTAGGGACATGTCAGCGTCCTGGTGGACGCCAAGTTGACTGAAGATCCCAGGCCCTCGTGTGCACGGATGTTGAAGCTTGAGGAACTGAGTACACACTGCCTGTGGCACACCTGGCAGCTGCCTCGCGGTCGAACTCCACGATGCTGTCCCTGTAGTGGAAGTTCCTGTGAGCCCGGCACTCCCTGCAGTGTCATCGCTGACATCGTGGGTTAGGGGAGAAGTACCCTCTACAGATGGGGTGGCGCTGGGGCGACACCACCTCCGCCTGCTTTACCTCACCTGTTGGAAGTATATAAGCCAGTTCTCGGCGCATATACTGTACTTTTATCAACACTGTAGGACTGACCATATCGACTATAGGCTGAAGGAGTAAGTACCTCAAACTCTTCATCTTCCACCATTTTTCTTTCTACTGGACTGAGGAAGCCACTGTGTGGCGAGGCGTTTCCACAATAAAGACACCCAAGTGTTGCCCATGTGTCTCTTATATCAACCTGTCGGTTTTTCTGAACTATTTATCTACAGAGACATAAAAACATATATAAAACAAAATACAAATACTTAAATTTATATCCCTGTAAATTCATTGTTGTCATAGCCTGGCAACAATCATGTTGTCATAGCCTGGCAACAATCATTTTTGTCAGCCTGGCAACAATCATTGTTGTCATAGCCTGGCAACAATCATTGTTGTCATAGCCTGGCAACAATCAATGTTGTCATAGCCTGGCAACAATCATTGTTGTCATAGCCTGGCAACAATCATTGTTGTCATAGCCTGGCAACAATCAATGTTGTCAGCCTGGCAACAATCAATGTTGTCATAGCCTGGCAACAATCATTGTTGTCATAGCCTGGCAACAATCATTGTTGTCATAGCCTGGCAACAATCATTGTTGTCATAGCCTGGCAACAATCATTGTTGTCATAGCCTGGCAACAATCATTGTTGTCATAGCCTGGCAACAATCAATGTTGTCACCTGGCAACAATCAATTGTTGTCATAGCCTGGCAACAATCATTGTTGTCATAGCCTGGCAACAAT